GTCCCGGTCCGGTACGGGCACAACACTGAGGGTTGCGATCCATTGCCGGTCACAAAAAAAAGACAAAAAGGAAAACAAACAAACAAACAAACAAAAAAAACAAAATATCTACTGTACCAGAAACTTTTATATAAAAAGGATTAAGAAAAATAACTCAGACTTGTTTTGAACATTATCTCTTTAGAAATAATTATTAAATATACCCTATTTGTTGTAAATTTTTGTAACTCAAAGTATATAATTTCAGGGGGTTTTGTTTGTTTTGGTTTTTTTCAAAAGATGACCAGTAAGGGGATCTCAACTCTTGACTTGGTGTTGTCAGCACCACGCTCTCCAAAGTGAGCCAACCGGCCATCCCTATACAGGGATCCAAACCCATGGCCTTGGTGTTATCAGCACTGCACTCTCCCAAGTGAGCCACGGGCCAGCCCAATAATTTCAAGTATTAACATATTTCAGGAAAAAGAAAAAGAAACCACAATGAATCCTAGAAAACAATGTTCAAAGTTAAAGTGGGGAGATTTACTAAACTTCTGCTTTTCCAGAGTACCTATATTTCTAAAAAGACAGTGCCTTTGGCCACTGAATTTATGTATTATCTCACCTTATTTCAAAAAAGAGATTTGAGGTGACAAAAAAAGATGCACAAGAACACAGCAAAATAAAATTAAAATACACTATTTGCACCATTATCTAAAGGAATGAGGACAGAAGTGAAATTAGTTCCCCAAATGCATGTGTGTCATTGAGTTTTATATATTTTGTCAAAGGCAGGCCTTGGCTCCAAGGCATCCTTTGTTCACCAGGCATTCTCCATTAGTAATACTGGCTCACTACAGAAATGGTTCTTAAGGGAGAATCAGAATCTAGGGAGTGGGGTTCTGATATAGCCTAACACGCAGTGATTTAGAGATTAAACTTCCCTTTAAGCACCTGCAATACAGTTATTCATTAAAAGGAGGTAGAGTCATATGCTTCAACAGCAAGAGTAGGCCTAACATTCAATTTCGTTGAAACTGAGGAACATAACAAGGACATATGTCTGAACAGAAAGCCAACATGCTTTGCTACAAAGGTATGTAAATTTGGGGGTCTCTCCCAAAATACATAACTGGTCTTAGAATAATTAAATTGTAGTCGTTATTTCTATTATAACTGAAAGATTGGATCTGTTGTCAGTTAAGATCACTTCTTGTTCCTGATAATAAAGCCAGCTCAACCCACATAAAAGAGTGCTTCTCTTTCCGCATTCTATAGAGGGCATGTATTCAAAATTACCCTTATACAACTAGGGAGCAGTATTTTTCCTAAAAAAAAAAGAGTGGGGTGAAGGTGGCAGATGACACTCCTCCCACCCCCTAATCTTTTTTTTTTTTTAAATGATTTTGTTTGTTTTGGTTTTTGGCAACTGGCCGGGACAGGGATCAGAACCCTTGACCTTGGTGTTAAAAGGTGGCACTCTAACTAACTGAGCTAACCAGCCAGCCCCCATCCCCTAATCTTGACCCAAGGAGAGAGCATGCCTCCCCACCATGACTCTCACGGTGGCACTGAAGTACAGAACTATAAGAGCATCACATTCAGGAATCTATGCTGAACTTGGGTAACTCAGTCCATAACTGAGGAGTAGCCAAAGTCAAAGACAGGAATCGTGCCTGTGGGGGAAAAATCCATTTCTTGTTCCTCCCATTTGAAAGAACCTAACCTTTCCTTCTCATTTTATTTATTTGTTTTATTATTTTTCCCTACAGCAGGATGCTGGGCCCTTCTCATTTTAAACATAGCATAAGCTACAGGACAAATTGTTGAACATTCAATAAGCTAGTTTACACAAATTATGTGCAAAGCTATGAGTTCTTCACCAAAAACAAAAAAAAGGGGAAAAAGTGAAGTGAACTCCAAACTGCTAAGCCCAAAAGGTAGTACTAATAGACCATAACTATTTAAAGGCATTTCTACCCATTTCAAAGAGTAAAAAGCACAGGCTTAGAAGTTGGACTGATAAATTAAAATTATAGTTCTGTCTCACTCTTACTGTGTGCCTTTGGGCAAATTCCTTAACTTCTCTGTATCTCAGTTTCTTGATTTACAAAATGGGCATAATGAAATAGCAGCTACTTCACAGAGCTTCTATAAATTATGAATTATGAATTATGCACCTAAGTCTCTTAGAACAACAAATGTGAGGGTTTTAGAATTCCTGTTTTTAATTTTAGAAAAACCATGTATGAAAAACCAACTTTCCCCCTTTAAAAAGTAAGCATGCACCCAGTAGCTAAAAAACTGTGACATCACTACAAGCTCCTGCTGGAAACTAGAATGTAATAGTTAAATTAATTCAGAAGACCCCAGAAAGCCAACAGTTGCTTCTGTTTAGCACATTAGCACCTTCCTTTACAATTCACTTTTACTGTTCACAGTATTAAAGTTTACAATATGATTTATTTGCTCTAAATACTCTTAAAATATATAAAATTAAACTGCCTTAATTAAGAAACATTTATATATGATATAGATGGTAATTTATATGATAAGCCCTTTTTCATAATAATATTTACAATTAAAATTGGACACCCAAAGTCTGTTCTTAAGAAAGCCACAAGTGAATTCCTGGATCATTGCCAATCAGTTTGAGGGAATTTTATGGCAGTAATGAAGAAATTCAACCTGTACACTCAATGACATTTTGATTCTTTTAATAGGAATCTTAAAATCGCAACATAGCTTTTGTTGTGTGTTAAGCAGCATCCCCCCAAAATTAATGTCCACCTGGAATCTCAGATGTGACCTTATTTGGAAATAGGGTCTTTGCAGATATAATTAGTTAAGTGAGGGCATACTAAATTAGGGCAGACCTAAATCCAATGATTGGTGTCCTTATAAGAAGACAAGATATATATAAGGAAGAATGACACAAGAAGACAGAGGCAAAGCCTGGGGTGATGCAGCTACAAGCCAAGGAATGCCAAAGATTGCCAGGAGCCACCACAGGCAAGGAAAGATTGTTCCCAGACCCTTCAGAGGGAACATGGCCCTGCAAAAACCTTGATTTCAGACATTTAGCCTCCAAACTATGAGAGAATAAAGTGCTGCTGTTTTAAATCACCCAGTTTGTGGTACTGTGTAATGGGAATCCTAGGAAATGAACAGTTTCCTCCATTTTCCCCAATGTTTTTAAGTGAACTCCAAACCCAAATTCTACTTTAGAAGATAAATAACTTTTTTATAGATGGTAAAAAGTCAAGTCTTCTAGATTTCCCCCTACAATTATTTCAGTACTGAATTTCTGAAATTTGTCCCTGTGAAACAGTCTTACCAGGAAGCCTCATTTCCAGGTATCCTCGCACCCTACTAATAAGGTCAGAAGGAGGTCTCTCTCCTGATTGCCCCATTCCAGCTTCATGTGTATGAATATCCAAAAGCAACATCTCATTCAGCATGACCTGACGAAGTTTTGGTGAGAACTCTGTTACCAACTCCAAACAAGCAGCAAACAGCTGTTTAGCATGGGAAAAGTCCTATGAAAAGAAATAACAGAACAGCCTGAGCCTCTGGAGACACAAAATGTATCTCTATGAGTACAGAACAAAGAGGATTAATTTAAATGGTTTACACTGCTTATCTTGGAGAGTGAGACTAGATTATCTCTTTCTTTATCATCTCTGTATTGTTAATTTATTCCAATAAATATTTAATTCTTTTGCAATTTAAAAAAATCCAATAATCAATATAAAATACATGCTATATTACTAAATAAGTTTTCCACAGATTATAAGACTTCTCCGTATTAAACAAGTGTAAAACTCTATGACAAGCACCCTTCCCAACCTAAGATACTAAGAATTAGACCTTAGATCCTTCAACAGGTTTCACGTTCTACAATCTTTGCATACTACCCTATTATCCTATATAATAGGGTTTTATTTTGTTGTTTTATTGTAACTTAGTTGACTGTACATCAGAGTTGAATATCAATAGTTGTATGTAATATACGATGCTCAAATCAGAATTATTATTATACTCAACAATATACACTGTCATCGCTATTTGTGGCCTGTTACGCATTCTTCCTTCCCATATATAATAGGTTAATAAATCAAATCAGCTACGACCTGAGCCCTTTCCTACCCACCTCACTTTAATTTTTGCAAAGACTATTCTTTACTCAGTTTCTCTCTCCACATGCCTCATTCATACCAACAACCTGGCTTCTGCCCCCATCACTACAAATAGTTCTCACAAACCAAAGATCTTCTAATTGTGCAGATACTGAACATTTTCCATTTTCTTACTGGAATTAGGAGCTGCATCCCACTGCTGTGCACTGCCTTTTACTTGACATTCTCTTTTCTCTTGGCTATTGTGACTGCACATTTGCCCAGTCCTCACACCTACCATAGTACTCTTTCTTGGGTCCTGTGCTGCATTCCCTAATTGTCCATGCTCTGTATATTTTTCCTGGGTGATCTTTGATGACCCCCAAACTTGTAACTCCAGTCCAGACCATTCCCTAAGCTTCAGGCTTGTGTTACCAACTGCAGCCTCAAATTAAACACTGTAAAAATAAACTCATAATCTGCCCTTCAAAAATGTTTTTATCTGTACACTTGCTGGTACTGCCATCCATTCTCTGACACCCAAACCAGAAACCTGAGCATCATCCTTGATTCTTTTCTCCCTCTTGCCTTCCACATCAAATCAATTACCAATTACTTCTAGATTTTACCTTGTAAACACTTCTCTAATATGTTCTCTTCTATCCCTCCTAACACTTGTGCCACTTACTAGTTGTATGGCCCTGGACAATTTAATACCTTTGAGTCTCTGATTTCTTACCTATAAAATTGAGATAACACCTTCTACACAGTTTGTTGTGAATAAATAAAAGAATAAATGTATATGAAATTGCAAAATAGTCTCTGTGCTCAATAAGTGTTATTTCAGGTATGGAAGAAGAAAAGCTGCTGACTACATACCCCCATTAAAACTTTTCAATGGTTTACAATTGTCTACATTATCCAATATGGCAGCCACTAGCTACATGTGGCTACTGAGCATGTGAAATGTGACCAGTCCAAATTGAGAGGCGCTCTAAGTGTAAAATACTCACTGAAGACTTGGCACGCACATTAAAAAAAAAAAAGCATGGAAAATATCTCAATTTTTTTATTGATTACATGTTGAAATGATAGTTTAGACATATTGTGCTAAATAAAATACAGTATTATCATTAAACTTCATCTTTGTTGTATTTTTAAAAACATGGCTATTAAAAAATTACAAATTTCATACATGGCCCATATTATATTTGACTGGACAGTATTAGTCTGGAGCAACAATTCTCAAATTTTAGTGTGCATCAAAATTACCTGGAGGGCTTATTAAAACAGGATACTTGGCTCCATCCCCATAATTTCTGACTAAGTAGGTCTAGGATGGGGCCCAACGATGTGCATATCTAACAAGTTCCCAAATGTCACTGATGCTGCTGATGCGAGGACCATACTTTGAGCACCACTGGCCTGTAGCATTGCCTTCAAAAGATTCTTTGCTCATTTCCCTCTTAGAACAGTTTTGTAAAAGTGTTTACTTTCTTATATACATTTTCAAGTTGAGAAGTATTTTTTAGCATGAGGTTTAAAGATGCTACGGATATTATTTATAGTGTAGTGAAAATCTTGACTTTTAAATAACAAATTATACTTTGTTTCTATTTTCTAAGACATACATGCATTTAGGGATAAATCTAACAAAATACTCATAGTACATGCAAGATCTGTATGCTGAAAACCACCAAACACTGATGAAATTAATCAAAAACATAAATAAAGAGATATACTATGTTCATGAATTGAAAGAGTCAATACTGTTAAGTTATCAATTCTCCCCAAATTGCTTTACAGGTTCACTGCAACCTGAATCAAAATTTCAGCAGGCTCTTTTATGCCATTGAAAAGCTGATTCTAAAATGACATATAATATCCAAAGTGATTTTCAAGTACAACAAAACTGGAGGACTTACAGCACTTGGTTTTAAAATTTACTGTAAAGCTACAGTATGCCTCCCACCAGCCTTTTTCTTTAAGCAAGCAGGAAAATGACAATTGTGAAAAAAAAAAAAGGGTGGAAATGGAGAACCGACATCATGTAGACTCTAGGAGTGTTTTCAGGAAGAT